CAAACGCGTTTTGCAGTTACAATTAATTTAACGCGCTTAAACAAGTTAACTAAACTCAAATATGTCAATTGCGTTTACATGTGGTTCAGGATCTAAAAACCCAGTTTTGTTAGTCAAATAATTCATAAAACTAATTTAAATTTTGATATTCCTTTTTGGTTTTGTATGAAACATTAAGTATTTCTCTGTGAATTGATCTGTTTTGTATGATAACTTAGTCAGCAATGTTACTTGAATATAGTACCACCTTTTTAGATGTATTTTTAGTAACATCATAAATCGTATTTTCATGCAATATAACAGTGTAAAATTTATCTACTTGATAATGATCACGATAATATTTTCTTTGGGAAAAAAAATAATTGTTTTCATTATACAGGATCTCATTTTCCATGTTAGATAAGTCTATTGTTCCTGCTTTTTCGAAATTGTAATTATTTATATAAAAAAAGGACTTTATGCATAAATAAGTAATCATTTTTCTGGGTAATCCGATATTACAAAATGGTTAAATTTCTTTAAAATACGAAAACACAAATTAAAGCTGAAAAAAAAAACAAAAAGAAAATAGTTTTTTAATAAAAAGAACAATGGGAAAGACCTATAAATTTGTCTAATGAGATATAACTATAAGAGTCATATTGAATTATGGTTATTTTTATTTTATAGGAACTGAGACTTTATTCAGACTTATTTGTAAAAAGTTCCTTTATGTTGATCGTTTCTAAAGTAATATAAAGATAAACTAACAATAGATAGTTAAAATGTATTTTTGTTTTTATGCACTTGTTTTGTACCTGATTTATGTGATTCTATGTTGTCTTATCAAAAGAGATCTATACTTGATCGATTGATAAACCAGCGTGATTCATTGGTTACGGTATGTAGATTTCTAATCAAACGTCTTCTATTCTATCCTCGTTCATCGCGCAATTTAAAAGTTCGTATGAAGATATAAAACTTGCCCTTTTCATATGCTTCGTGGAAGAGATGATCATTATACGTGAATTTGATGGTAACGCAGCTCGAATCTGCGCGAACAAAAGGATTGTTTCCCCAAAACGAAGTCCAAACGCGTTTAGACGCGTTCAGAGGCAAAAAGTTTTCACATGGGCACCGTACATTATGTAATGTAATGAGTCATCTGCTAGTCCTGCTTTTATACTTCACTTTAGTTATTGTTTTTATTTGGTGAGTGACTCTAACGATGATCTTAGCTGGTCTCAAATCAAGGGGGGAAACGACCATGGCTGCCAGATCAAAAAGTTACAAATCGAATTTTCTGTACTAGAATTCGGAAACCAGCTATCAAGGCTTTCGATTGTTTTTGAGGGTGGAAAGGGGCTTGTTTTTTTCTTTTGACAGACACTATTCATAAAATTGCACAGACTATGTTAAACATTTTTGCCAGACAGTATCAAAAAATTGCCTAGACACTGAGAATATGGGAAGGGTGGCTGCCCCTCCCCTCCCCGTCACATCGAAGTTCTGTCAACTATCTAGGTTTCCGTTGCTCAAGTTAACGGTGTTTTTCTAAGACGTATTTTTTCGTTGAGTGTCATTTGTTCCTGTATAGATCATCGATATTGAAGAAAAGCAGGTGTTGATTGAGTAACTGAATTATTTTCTCTAGAGAACATGTTGTTCATTCAAAAACTAGAAACAAATATACACATATAGACTTAAAAACGATTAAGATGCGAAACGTCAAAAAACAAATTGTCGACACGCCTTTAAAGTGAGAGTAAAGAAAAATTTGCACTTTTCAATTCAACACTGAAGGTTTTACAGAAAAATCAATTCAACATTTTGTCTTTCGTCGTTTTGTCAGCTAATTTTAACAAAATTTCTATAAAAAAAATCTAAAGTTCGTTTGAAAAGAATACGTTACTTTTTATCAAATTCTTCATATAATGTTTCTTTCTTCAAGATATCTGGTGGTGTTAAAATAAATTCATGATTACTATATCCAATGAATTTTAAAATTCTTTTTGATTTGAAAGTTGGCTTTAATTATTTTAACGTCCATTTTATTCCGATAATCGATCCATATTTCCTTAAACTTCAAATCCAGTTCATTTTAAAGAATGCTGTTTGACCTAACAAATTTACTAGAAATACGATAATGAGACTGATTAAGACAAAATTGAGACTCAAGAAAGCAAAAAAATGTACTTCACCGGCTCAACTACGTTGAATCATGCAACGATCATGGGAAAACTAAGATGGTGTAATATGTTCTAAAAGTTCTAGTAAACACCCCAATAGAGCGGAAAATTAAAAATCTCGCGGTTAGGAAAAAATTCCAAAAAATTCGAAATTCGAAAGAATTTGAAACTCGGAAAGCAATCGAAAAAAGTAATCATCCGCATTTTTTCCGAGGTATTCGGAAGATCTGGCAACACTGAAAACGACGTACTCTGGTACTCCTAGAGTACATAGAGTTCAGTATCCTCCCTCCCACGACTTGGACTTCTTGTACTCCGTGGACTTGGCGAACTTCCTGGACTCTGATTGTACTCTGTGGACTCCTTATACTTCTAAAAGAGTGAAAACAAAACAAATACTAGAGAAATATGAAAACAAGACAAGAAGAAGAATCGACCGCTTTTGATTGTGTGCTCATTATACATGTTATATTAGCTTATTATTCATTCAAAGCAAGGTTGACTGTAGACACTCAATTTTTAAAGCGAAAACTAAAATTGAAATGAACCAGGAAGAGTATTTAACTAACGCAAACTGATAATATACAGTAAATCAAATCTTTTTTTATTCATTGACGGTGGTAGTGGACATTATCATATCCATTCTTTTCTTAGCACCATATGTCATATACCAGCAGTTTATGCCGAACTTGAATAGCGGGTCTGATTGTAGCACAAGTAATTTAAATATCTAGCAAGATAAATTCAAATCGGTTAACGACGCACTATACCGTTAGCAAAACAATTGATCTTATTTTGTCTATAAATATGCACTAGACTTAAAATACCGGGAAAATTTTGGAACTTACGCCGGAATTAATACAATATTGAAAACCTATTCATGTAAAATCCATGGTTATGACGATATGATCTGAATAAGGCTACAATGAGTTGTCTAGTTGTTCGAATGACTTTAGTTAAGTGACTGTTTGTTTATCTTCTAATGCGTTTCATCTATTGTTTTCTTGTTTAAATCCGTTTCCTAAAAAACTGTTCGAATCTCGCTTACAACTTGTGCTAAGTCTTCATAATTGTATGGAAGTGAAAGATAGGACAGTAGAATTGGATTCTCCGATGAATAGCCCAGAACCTACAAGGTTTTTTGTGTCTTTTTGATACTCCAAAATATGCGTTTCGCGTCAGTTTTTCAGCAGCAACAAAACGCGTTAATGTTGGTCGATTTAACACGTTTCATAGTTTCTGAAAAAAGTGCTTTAAAATTCATTCTTTCTAGCAGCATTTCACATCGTTAATTTCAACATCAAGGAAATGCGTCAAACCGGCCAGCATCAACGCGTTTCACAGCAATGAGAACAACACGTTTTTTTCGCAGAAATTGATGCCATGAGCGAGATCTTTTTTTGTTTTTATTTGGAATAAAGCTTCTTATGGAATCCCTAGACAAAAATTGATTACAATAGTACATGATAAGCTAGACACGAGACCTTTAGGTACAGAATCAAAAAAGGTTCTTGACGTCGATAGATGGAAGAATCTTTCTTAGTTCCAAAAAACTTTTTTGTTTTGAATGCAGTTCCTCGATCAACTATTATTCGCGCCAAAATGAAATATGGGTTGGTGTAAACTCAATAACTCGACAACGGAAATAGATGGTGATCTTCGGTTTTCACCATTCAAAAGGAAACATACAGGGCTATAATATTATCTCAAAATTTGATTGGTAAGCTATTGACCAATCAGATGAATTCTTGGTAGAGAGTCTTGGAAACGATATTTCGAGATCATTTCTCTTTAGATTTGAACTTATGATATGACCAATCGATACAAAAATTTGTTGTCTTTCGATCTATGTCAGAACCAAGCTTCTAACTAGTTTCATTCAAGAGCTATAAGACTTTTCCTGCGATCACCAATCTCAGCTGATTCATCTCGGATCGCACGAAAAAAAAGCTAGGCATAAGTAATTCACCATGTCAAGTACGATCATCATATTTATTCTTAGACTTGAATTGATCCGACACTGTTATCTCAGTATTTCCGAAATGTCGACTCCTTCATTGCATAGAAGCAGAGTGTGAAATTTCAGAATTATTGAGATAACATTATCGAATCAATTCGAGTCCAAGAATAAATATGATGATCGTACTTGGCATGATGAATTACCCCTACTTAACTGCTTTGCTTTTCCGTGTGATTCGAAGTGAACTAGCTGAAATCGGGAGTCCCAAGAAAAGCCTTATAGGTTTTGAATGGAACCAGCTAGAAACGTGGGCTTTACGTAGATCAAAAGACAACAAATTTTCCTATAGATTGGTTATATCACAAGTTCAAATCCAAAGAGAAATGACATCGAGATAACGTTTCCAAAACTCTGTACAAAGAATTCATCTGATTGGTCAATAGTTGATCGATCAAATTTTGAGATAATATTATAGCCCTGGGTGTTTTCTTTTGAATGGTGAAAACGGCAGCTCGCTATCTGTTTCCGTTGTCGAGTTATTGAGTTTACACCAACCCCTTTTTAATTTTGGCGTGGATAATAACTTTTTTCTCTTTTTTTGGTGAATTTAAATATAATAGAGTAACATGAATGGATTAGCACAACGTGTTTTTTCAATGTCTGGTCGTTTGCTGAGATACATATCAAATAAACAAAAGCTTACTTGTATTATTATCTCTATTATATTGGGAGCTACCAGCTCAGTTCCTTTAGTTTATCTTTATGGCGCAATGAATATGCAACTGGAAACACCACTACCAAGTTTAGTGTCAGATGTGCATCGAATTCATTTTGAATATTCCAGGAATTACAGAAATAACGGCATACTATCTATGATAAGCAGAAGTAAGATTCAAAGTTATTGTGGAAATGATGATCCTATACTTGGATGTTCTTATTGGAACCCGTCTATTTTTCCTTTAAATTCACATCAATACTTGATTGCTGTACGTGAATCTACTCGACAAAACTGTGGTGGTATGATTGGCACAATGATCACTTTAGCTCGATTGGCATTCAGGCCAGCCATTAGTACTGTCCTCATTGGTTCATTCAATCCTAATGATTTGATAATAAAGTCGAAATACCACATTCTCGTTCGCGTACATCAACAACTTCCAGATTCATTTCGTTACAATCCTAATGGATATCATCGCGGTCACGAAGATCCCAAATGGATTTCTGATGAAGACAGACTTTATTTACTTACATCATCCGAAAGGTACTCGTGTCCACGACTGTTTTTGACTAGAGTAACGTTAATTCAACATCAGATTGATAATAATACAAATGATGATCTAATTGAATTCGGTAAAACAATTGAATTGAGGACACTTTTTGATGCACCCTATAGTCAAAAGAATTGGATGCATGTACCCGTATCTATGAAGGACAAACCAAAAAAACATCATCATTGGTTATTATTTGTCTATCAAGTATCTCCTACATTACAGCTTGTGTGGGTAGATCCAGAAACAGGTAATACCGTATTATACGACGATTCGCTGCACTCACTATCATCGGTAAACGAAATATGTGGATCATCTATGTTTATTTCCGAAACCAACAACACATATCTCGGATTTATTCACACAAGCAAGCCGCATCCAGCGTCTCATCTTGGTCTTGATTTGAATATTTACCATTCTTATTTAATCAGATTAACCAGAAAACCAATACCAACTACAGAATCGTGGAAGTGGATCATCACACATAAAACACCGCCCTTAGCAATGCCCGTAGCGAGAAATGAACGTGCCCATCGAATTCAATTTGTAACAACATTAACTCAACGAAATTCGGAATTTTGGATATCGATGGGTGATATGGATTGTGATTCTCATATTCTTCGAATCCCGCAAAGGTCTCTCCTACAATTATTACATTGATAAACATTTCGAATGAACAACACGGTGAATTCAGACCACTTTTATTTTGATGAAGAGAATATTTGTCAGTTTTCGTTTAAATCAACACGAATGATTTTCACAACAAAATCTTTATTGTGAATCTCGTGACGAAAATTGTCAATCAGTTGAGTAATGTTATATGTCGCAAAACTAAGAGATGCACTCACACCCGGGAGATGTGGGTGCATTTCCAAATTTCGGGATATTTGACACTGCTGAGATGTTATCATAATTTTGTCTCATCCCGTACATAACGCGCTTGTCTCCAGACTCTTAAGAAAGGATACATGGCAGCACCAAGCAACCGAAACACTCGTCAAAATATAAAACACTTTTGAGTTTTTGTCTGCATCCGAAAGGGCAATGTCTGAAGCTACTAGATCTGAAGTTTTAGTTCATTCGGACCTTTTATAGTAAAGTTAGTCTTGATCGAGTTCTAGCACCGTCTGCCTAATATCAAGAAAAAAAGTGATGAACTATCTCATCAATGTTTGCTAAAATTATGCTACCAGGACTGAGAGAATTTTTCCGTGCAATATACCAAACGATAGAGCATACATAGATGAAAAAATGAGCTATTTGAAATACTGTAAATTATTCATTTATTCGGCTAGCATGAGCGGAAAGTGTAACAGCTTGCCATTCTATGACGTCGGACTTTTGAAAGTATATTTGCTGTCATTTATCGAAATCATAAGACCTCATGCTGGATTTTTTTGTATGATATGCAACTTTTAATTCTCTGCAAATTGGTAAAAAAAATTAGGGAAAAAAACTTTTAGTTTTATACAAAAAGTGGAATATACTGTTCATAGCGAAGTAAACAGCCTCGACGAAAATGACCTCGAGTATATTTTAGACTTTTGTTTATGAAAGTTTTAATCTTGCACGCATTAGGACTCTATCCTAGATCGAATGTTATAAACGATTCTTTTAAGAAAAAAAAATTCGATCTCCCCCAACATCACTGAAGTGGCAGTACGGAAATTTCGAGAAAAACTTCTTTTCGTGTAATTGAAATATAATCAATTTGGGTAATAGGATCAACAATGCTGATTATAACCATATGTTGGAAGCTCATTACTATTTGTAATTTAGTAGCATTGTGACCACTTTTACGGTCGAGTATTTGAGGTTTTGTTGGAAGAAAATGACCCCGAGGTGTCTACCCTATGCCACTAAATAAAAGATAATGATGAACTTCCATCTTATGGTTGTGATTAGAATTTTTAGTACTATCTTTCTGGTTGATCATATTTCGATTTCACGGAAAAAAAATTCTTTTTTGAAATTCCCGTATCTCTCTTCAGGGGTAGGGGGGTCGAAACACTTTTGTTCCTTTTTTGAAAGAATTATCTATGCTATTCGATCCAGGATAGAGTCCTACTTCGTGGAAGGTGGAAATTTTCATAAATGAAAGTCGTTGAAACATCCTTGAGGTCATTTTTCTAGAGACTGATTGCCTCATTATTGAAAGTGTATATGTCACTTTTTCTATTCATTCGGATTTTATAGAGAATCAAAGGTTATATATTAGTATACAAAAATCCAGCATAGGATCTAATGATTTCGATAAATGACAGAGGATATACTTCCAAAAGTCCGACATCATAGAATGGCCAGCTGTTACATTTTTCGCTCATGCTAGCCGAATAAATGAATGATACACAATATTCCAAACACCCCATTTCTTTTGCATTTGAGTATCCTCTATCGTTTGGTATATTGCATGAAAAAATTCTCTCACTTCTCGTAATATAGTTTCAGCAGACATTGATGAGATAATTCATCATTATTTTTGTTAATATTAAATAGACGGTGCTACAATTGGATCAATACTAACTTTGCTAGAAAATATCCACATGAGCTAAAAATTTAGATTAAGTAGTTTTACACATTGTGCTTTCTGATGCACACAAAAAGTCAAAAATATTGTATATTGTGACGAGTTGTTCGTATACTGTGGACATGCTCGATGTTCTCTCGTGGAAGCACTATTAAAACAGTCTAGAAATCATACGATTTTTAGCATTCTTCATGGACTATGTGATGGAGTATCATCGAACATGAAGCAAGACAGTATTCCTGCTCATTTTTGTTCATCTGTTTTACCATAGATATATCGTATATCTATCATTATGGGGATAAGGAAACAGTTCACGAAATGGTACTGAAGTACCTTGAATTTAATATCAAAATGTTTGCCACGTTTTTCTCTTTCATTCTATGTAGGGTGCACGTAATGGAAAATTCGAGTAAATTTTAATTTTTACTGCTTGATATATGGCTTCATAGCGCTTGAAAAGCTGATTACAAATATATACTTTCTATGTTAAGTAGGTTATCCATTCGTTGTAAAAATCTCCAAATATTGACCATACTATAAGTATGATCAAACGCATTTTTTTCAAAACATACTCTTAAGCTTTGATAATCTGTTTTCTAAACTCTTTGAAAATAGTTTTTTCTAATTCAGCATCCAAAACTGTATAGAGTTATATAATTTTCACAGATTTAAAATCAATAATGTAAAATATTACTATCAACCTATGTACGTTTATAGCATGTATTTAAAGACATTTCTGTAAATCCTTTTCGTTTTTCACAGTAAAATATAAGATCAAATGTCTTATTTCATTTCAATCAGAGTGTTTCGATCTACATGAGTGCCCATTTAGTTTTTACAAATATTTTTCTATTGTTGACAATATTGAAGATTTACTCATTTCAGTAGTAGACCGGCCAAAAATGGTCTTGTTTATTGTAGTTTTTATTCTCAAAATTGAGTTGTAGAGAAAAAATAAACATCATATTCAGAATCAGCGTCAAAATCTACACCGAACTACATAAATTTTACCAAAATCATTTTTCCATGGAAAATTGACCGCTGGGGAAACACAAGAAAAATTTTAGAAGGAAAATGCTAAGGGGGAGAGACGTGAGTTGTCAATGGAAAGATGATTTTGGTAAAATTTATGTAGTTCGGTGTAGATTTTGACGCTGATTCTGAATATGATGTTTATTTTTTCTCTACAACTCAATTTTGAGAATAAAAACTACAATAAACAAGANCCCATCACAGACTGGGACAGAGAATTCGGGGACCCATCACAGACCGTGACAGAGAATCCTGGGTACCCATCACAGACCGTGACGGAGAATCGGGGTACCCATCACAGACCGTGACAGAGAATCCGGGTACCCATCACAGACCGTGACAGAGAATCCTGGGTGCTCATCACAGACCGTGAGAGAGAACGCGGGTACCCATCACAGACCGTGACAGAGAATTCGGGTATCCATCACAGACCGTGACAGAGAAACTGTAGTTGTAAAGCATCAGATATACAGTTAGCTACAAATGTGTCGTAAGGAAATGGAACAAAAGGATTTCCATTTAATTAGTAACAATAGGTTCATCGTGTTTCACGTTTTTAATCCCGCAAGGGATTGCGCTAACAGCTTTTTTAGTATTATATAGTAAGTGTGGATATTTATATCCGCATTAGTCTCGTTGTGCTCAATACTATGCGTGTCCGTGTGACACATTTTGACATAAATTCATCCAATCAAATCGATACCCACAAAGTAAAACTCAACGGAAGTTTATATGAGCCACGCTAAGGCAGTAGTATCAACACGCTCCGAGAAAAGAGATTATCTTCAATAAGCTGAGAGGATCACAATAGAAAGCATATCCGCAACATTAGCGTGGAAACGCATCATGCCCATTAAGAACTCTAAAAAGAGGTTCGTATAGTTACTAGCACATCAACTGACAATGTCATTGGCTAGCGTCATCTACCAAAATACGAATTTAGCTGGGCTGCTAGATTAAAATAAATTATATTTGATCAGACTTGTAGTCAGATTAAACTACTTAAGTGACGCTCTTTATCAAAGGAGCCATCGGATTACACAGTTAATATTAGTACATCCGAATAAATTGAGACATTTGAAAGCACGCAAACAATAATACATAATAGCAGAAAAATTCATTTTATTTCATTCAAATCTACTTCGAATGGAATGAATCTGAATTCTTTGCGTGACGTTTTCCGTCAAATTTTCTATTCAGATATTGTGCACGGGCTGCACAACTGCTCTCACACTTCATTCGAAAATACTTCTTAGATTTGTTGCCAGTTCTAGTTCCTATTGAAATTGGCCAGATCTAGACCGTAGACATTTAATAGCGGCTAGCCGCTGCCACTCTTAATTCTATTTCGGCATAAGATCATCCTCTTTGATTTAAACCCTACCTGATTCTAGACTTCGCTTAGTTAGAAAAATTATTAGATTTCTAACATGCAAATTCTCGATGAGAAATTTTAAAGCCGAAACATTGTTGTGAACTATTTCTTATATCTTTAATTTCATTCTCTAGCTAGCCAATCAGAGGTTTATTGAAATTTCTCATTAAGAGAATCTTAGTGTAGTATTCTCCAAAGACAACCTAGTCTTTATATAGATAATTGCTGAAGCGAATCTACAATGAACTTGTAATAGGAGGGACTAGTCGTTCGTCGGAGCCCTCTGTCTCCATTATTTGAAGGCACTTAAGCAATAGATGGTTATTCTCTATAAACCATAAAGATATGACCCCATTATCATTTACCTGATTGTATTATCTTCTTCAAGTCACAATGGTGGGAAATTCCATGAATCAGAACTTCTGCTCAGAAAAATGCGAATAATGAAATACTAAGCTCGAAACGTTGCAACGGAAGTAGATGTAAATACTGATAATGTTGAATCGACTAAAACTTGAATTTGGGTAGGAGTGATACTTTTGAGGGTTAGATGCAGTCTGAATACAAATATGTGGGTGGGTTTGTTGATCTTGCTCTGTCTCACACTCACAACCCGAAAAAAACTAGTTCAAAAATTTCAAAAAACTGATCACGAATTCGAATTCCTCGATCCCAATTACCTTTGTTCAAACTTTATGGCTAGCTCAAACTATTTGTTAAACAGCA